CCATCCCAAAATGGCAAAAAGAAGAACAGGAGCTTTCTGGACAGGTGATGAAAATCTGATAAATGCTAAAATTTAATTCAGAAGGCTGCAAATACATTTTTTATTTAAGAAATGAATTCCACTGATGTGTTATTTAATTGGAATTTTGATTTTGCATGTGTGCAATATTAAGTTATATATACGTTTATATAAGTTATATATATTGTTTAGTATTAAGCTTTGCTTGTTCCATATTCAGTTTTTCAGCAAAACGTGTTTGAGTCCATAAGAAGAGATTCATTCTTATATCTGGAGTGGGTGACAGCACACTGAACAGGATGTAGCATTATTTCACCAAAAACAGCGATCACTCTTAGCAAGCCTTGTTTTTCTTTTAAATAACTCCCTTAAGGCCAACTTTCCCCACGCACCCTCAACAGCTTCCTGCCCAGTCGGGTACATTTAATCAGCCTCCACAGGCTCATCAATCATTATCTCTACATCCTTACTATCATAAAATGAAAACCTGCCCTTGCTGCCTCATTATACCAATGCTGAGTATTTCAAGGCCCTTATCGTTATCCAAGTAACATAGCTAGGTGTAAACAGAGTTTTTAAAAGCTCTCTGCAGAACATCCATGCCAGCAAGAAGATTACTGCCAAAATAAATACCTTCAGCCTTTAGGTTGTAACCTGTTTGTCTAACAGTAAGGCAGCGCCAGCAGCAAATCCCATCTCACCGTGCCCTCGTCTGCACCAGATAATGCAGTTTTTAAGGGTTTCTCTTCTGTGAGGCAGGCTGTCTAACATCTGAACTGTATGTTCTCACAACACCCGCATGACAAAAATACCAAAGAAATTAATTCTCTTTTTTAACTAGAAACACATTGAGCACAGTTGACCAAAGTCAAATGGTTTCTTCACTTCTCTGCAGCTGAGATTTTATGTCACGCCGACCACCAGCCTTACCCAGTCATGCGCTCTCTGTCCTGAACATTTTGTCCTTTGTGTCATGCATCTGCACCGGCATCACACAAAGCTGTTTTTCTCTCAGAGAGGCTGTAACTAACAGATCGCAGCGATGTCAGAGTACGGTCACCAGATTGGGGGATTTTACCTGCCAAATAGGAGCCACGTGGCCACACCTGCTGCTTTATTAATCTACATTGCTGTTTTTGGGCTGCTAGTAACAAAGTGCCTAAAGATGCAATTTCAAATTGATTCTTTGCTCAGTCGTCTGTGTTGACATAACACTGGCTCATCCCTTGAGTTAGGTGCCTTTGTAATGCTTGAGTGATTCATAGGTCAATGTTAAGTGGTTCCGCAAACAAACAAAAGCATTCTTCTGAAAGCGGTCGGGTACACGGACTGGAATAAAAATGAGTGAAACCTTTGAAAGACCTTCAGAAAGCCTTAAGAACTGTTGTTCAAGACCACTTAAAAAATACAAGAAAGTCTGGCTGCTTGGAAGCAAAATGCAAAGAGATGAGGAGAACAATGAATCTGATTTTCATTTCAGTTACATTTCAATTCAGTTTAAGCTCGCAGTGATGAGGAAAACAAGGTGATTTAGATAAAACAACTATTGTGGCGCTCTTAAAATGACTCTGTTTAGTAAATTTAGTATTTTTCCAAACTGTGGTAAATGGTCATCAATGGTCATCTGAATATTGATCATTTTGCCAGCATCGAGCAACCCTGCCTATCCCAAAAAAACACATTAGTTAAATGTGCTTCTTCCACTGAGACACATTTTTCCATTTAATATTGATTCGTGTCAAGCTGTATTACTACACTGACAGACACACAATCCTCAATCTTATAAACAATTTCAGTTTTCATGGGTCATTTTTCTCTGCTGGCTGCGTCATGTTTACTAATGTTTCAGGTGTTGTCCCATGCGCCGAGTGCTAAAGTGCTTATGTTTGTTAATGTTCCTTCTCGCTCGCTATAATGAGAGAAATGGCTGTCATTAAAATGAGCCTCAGGTTAAATCGCCTATTAAATTGGATGATAATACAAACGAAAGGCTCTGAAACTATGTGGGGAGCCTCTGCGTGTGTTGTGTTAGCTCGGAGATAACAGGTTTCATGCGACGCGGAGCTGAGTTAGTCATTTGTTAACGGATCTCTTCTTCTTCCGATCAGCTGGGATGACAGGGTTGTCAATAGCTTGTTAAGGGTGATGGGTTTGATTAGAAATGTGTCCCTCCACAACTGTGAGCTCTGGGAAATATGCTAATTAAATTCTTGCATATGGGCAAACATGAATCATGAAAGACAGTCTCATTAAAGGGAGAAAGAGAAATCAATTTTGGGGTGTTGGTTTCTCCGAAGATTAGCAGGCAACGTAGGATGATTTGTCATGCCGAGGACATCGCTCATGCCATCAGTTCTTCTTCGCTGGTTCAGTCACTGTCCTTACTGTCAGCGAGCTGTCGCCACATATCACTTCACCAATGCAAGTGCAGGTCGTTGAAGCCATTAACCTTATTATTATGATCACAACAAACATCTTTATCATTTCTTTGTATGTATTTTATTGTCGTCACCGAGAGTTTTCCATTGGGATTTATCGGCTGCTTTCCTTTGTGAGTAAATTCTACTCTATTCTATTCTATTCTATTCTAAAGGGGCATTTCACTGAGTTAGTATCGCAAGTTACCACTTGTGAGACGATATAAATGATAAAGGCAGGATATTCAGACTTTCAGTACCTAATATAAGGAAAGCACTTCCCATTATGCAACTCAATAGTT